TCAGTCTGAAATTTAGCAAGTTTTTTCTTAACTATGGTGTCACATTTAATCCTAAGATCTATTTCTATTTTTATTTTAATGCCTTTCCTGAAATCACTTATTTTCATCTCCATATTACCAAATTCACCACTGCCTCAGCTCACTTGCTGCTGCAACTCTTGTTCATGCCTTGGTTGCTTGGCTTCTGGTTGAACAATGTCTCAATTTTAAAATTCTTATCCTTGTTCTCAAGTCTGTCCATGGCCTTGCCTCACTTTGTCCCTGTAATTTTCTCCAGACCATAATCCTCTGAATATCCCATCTTTTCTAATTCTGTCCTCTTGTGGATCTGTAATTTTAATTGCTCCACCATTGTTGGCTGTGCCTTCAGTTGACTAGCTCCATTTTTGGCAAGACCCTTCCTATAATAGTCCAAAATAGTAACTCCCTCTCATAATGATTCAGTTTCTTCAGTACAGGCTGAAGGGCCTGTACTGTTCTATGTTTATTCATTCATGGGATGAGGGCGGCGCTAGCTTGGCTGCATTTATTGCCCATCCCTAATTGCCCAGAGGGCAGTTAAGAGTCAACCACATTGCTGTTGTTCTGGAGTCACATGTAGGCCAGACCAGGTAAGGATGGCAGTTTCCTTCCCTAAAGGGCATTAGTGAATCAGATGGTTTTCCCTTTCCCAACAATCAACAATGGATTCACAGTCATCATTAGACTCTTAATTCCAGATATTTACTGAATTCAAATTCCACCATCTGCCACGGCAGGATTCGAACCCAGATCCCCAGAACGTTGTCTGGGTCTCTGGATTAATAGTTCAGCGATAATATCAGAAGGCCATTGCCTCCCCATGCCTCGGTGCAGTGCCTTAGAACATTTCATTACCTTAAAGGCACCAGATAGATATGAGTGAGAGATAGTAGGAACTGCAGATGCTGGAGAATCCGAGACAACAAGGTGCAGGGCTGGATGAACACAGCAGGCCAAGCAGCATCATAGGAGCAGAGAGGCTGACGTTTCGGGCCTAGACCCTTCATCAGAAAAGGGGGAGGGGAAGGGGGTTTTTGAAATAAATAGGGAGAGAGTGGGAGGCGGATAGAAGAGGGATAGAGGAGAGGATAGGTGGAGAGGAAACAAACAGGTCGAAGAGGCGGGGATGGAGCCAGTAAAGGTGAGTGTAGGTAGGGAGTTAGGAAGGGGATAGGTCAGTCCAGGGAGGACGGACAGGTCAAGGGGGCGGGATGAGGTTGGTCGGTAGGAGATGGAGGTGCGGCTTGAGGTGGGAGGAGGGGATAGGTGGGAGGAAGAACAGGTTAGGGAGGCAGGGACGAGCTGGACTGGTTTTGGGATGCGGTAGGGGGAGGGGAGATTTTGAAACTTGTGAAATCCACCTTGATACCATTGGGCTGCAGGGTTCCCAAGCGGAATATGAGTTGCTGTTCCTGCAACCTTCGGGTGGCATCATTGTGGCACTGCAGGAGGCCCAGGATGGACATGTCATCTGAGGAATGGGAGGGGGAGTTGAAATGGTTCGCGACTGGGAGGTGCAGTTGTTTATTGCGAACCGAGCGTAGGTGTTCTGCAAAGCGGTCCCCGAGTCTCCGCTTGGTTTCCCCGATGTAGAGGTAGCCACACAGGGTACAGCGGATGCAGTATACCACATTGGCAGATGTGCAGGTGAACATCTGCTTGATGTGGAAAGTCTTCTTGGGGCCTGGGATGGGGGTGAGGGAGGAGGTATGGGGGCAGGTGTAGCACTTCCTGCGGTTGCAGGGAAAAGTGCCGGGTGCGGTGGGGGGAGGGGAGATTTTGAAACTTGTGAAATCCACATTGATACCATTGGGCTGCAGGGTTCCCAAGCGGAATATGAGTTGCTGTTCCTGCAACCTTCGGGTGGCATCGTTGTGGCACTGCAGGAGGCCCAGGATGGACATGTCGTCTGAGGAATGGGAGGGGGAGTTGAAATGGTTCGCGACTGGGAGGTGCAGTTGTTTATTGCGAACCGAGCGTAGGTGTTCTGCAAAGCGGTCCCCGAGCCTCTGCTTGGTTTCCCCGATGTAGAGGAAGCCACACCGGGTACAGCGGATGCAGTATACCACATTGGCAGATGTGCAGGTGAACATCTGCTTGATGTGGAAAGTCTTCTTGGGGCCTGGGATGGGGGTGAGGGAGGAGGTATGGGGGCAGGTGTAGCACTTCCTGCGGTTGCAGGGAAAAGTGCCGGGTGTGGTGGAGCTGGAGGGGAGTGTGGAGCGGACAAGGGAGTCACGGAGAGAGTTGTCCCTCCGGAAAGCAGATAAAGGTGGGGAGGGAAAGATGTCTTTGGTGGTGGGGTCGGATTGCAGATGGCGGAAGTGTCGGAGGATGATGCGTTGGATCCGGAGGTTGGTGGGGTGGTACGTGAGGACGAGGGGGATTCTTTTTTGGTTCTTATTGCGTGGACGGGGTGTGAGGGATGAGGTGCGGGAGATGTGGGAGACACGGTTGAGGGCGTTCTCGACCACCGAGGAGGGGAAGTTACGGTCCTTGAAAAACGAGGACAACTGAGATGTACGGGAGTGGAATGCCTCATCCTGGGAGCAGATGCGGCGGAGGCGAAGGAATTGGGAATAGGGGATAGCATTTTTGCAGGAAGGTGGGTGGGAGGAGGAGTATTCTAGGTAGCTGTGGGAGTCGGTGGGCTTGAAATGAATATCGGTTTCTAGATATGAGTCACTGTTGTTGTCGGTCATGAGTACATTTTTCTCAATTCTTCAATCACTTAATCAGGAAGCATGTTCTTGAAGTAACATACTTAAGAATTTTGTTTTTAGTCACAGAGCTAGAGGGACTCTATGTAATTTTAAATAATGTGACATCAGAATTCCTTCATTGCAATTTAAAGAATTGGGCTATCAAAATAGATGTGCAAGCAGATCTTTCAAGAAAACAATGTTTGGTTAAGAGATTTTAAATTCAGTGACAGAGCAAGTTTGGAAATTAAACATCATTTAGCCGAAAATTCCATAGTATTACCATCAGAGGGGACTTTTTAATGATATGGAATGAGAAAATGTGATGTTGGGTGAAAATAGAAATAGCAGAAACACTGACTAATATGTTGCCAACAAATGAAATTACTTTCACTGTTGACAGAGCAATCAATGCCCGAAAGCAGAGGTTCCATTGCATATTGTCCCATTTAGTAGCATTTCCTTTTTCATTTAGAAAGCTTGGCTGCAAACCCCTCGGATGTTAGGAGTTAGTCTTCAGTTTCCATCAATGATGTACTGAGGAAGCCATGCTTTAATAGAGTTGCTATTCAACAGATGCCATCTTAAACTTTGAGTAAAACTTCAAACTGTTCAAATCGATGTAAAGCATCATAGTACAATTCGTAGAAAAGTGCAAAGTTCTCTGGGTGTACTGGCCAATATTCCTCTCTCAACTATTTGCACTGTAGCTGTTACTTACCTGTATAATGTAAGTAAATGAATTGATTTGTGACATAATTGTTTTATAACATTTCTAATAAATATGATAAGTTTCAACATAAATGTAATATTTCCTTTTTTAATCAATTAGAAAAGGAAAGTGGGTGAAAAGATATAATGTCCTCCTAGCGAAAAATGCTTATCATGAAAATGAGCTTCACTTTCAATGAAATAAGGAATCATTTCACAGCATATAGAATCCTATTAGCCTGCGCCACGATAAAGTCACTTTAGCCATTGACCATATGAATCATCATGATTACTATACATTTCAGTTCTGAGAAATCTCATTGGCTAGTTTGGCCAATACCAAAAGTCCATGTGCACCTTCATAATAAATTATCACTAATAGGCACCACTTCATTGCTCTGTATAAAACAGTAGTTAAATAAAATTATAACATTAGAATAAACTTGTCTTATTTCCTTTTCGAGATCGTAGGAACTGCCGATGCTGGAGTCTGAGATAACAAGGTGTAGAGCTGGATGAACACAGCAGGCCAGGCAGCATCAGAGGAGCAGGAAAGCTGACGTTTCGGGTCATTTTCTGAAGAAGGTTCCAGACCCAAAATATCAGTTTTCCTGCTCCTCTGATGCTGCCTGGCCTGCTGTGTTCGTCCAGCTCCACACCTTGTTATTTCTTTTTATCTCTGTTTCCATTATCAAACTTGCTATTGCTCATTGACTGATCAAAAACCTGGAAGGCAGGAGGCAGACACCGAGATAGTAGTTGTAATGCGTGATCTTTGTATTTGCACAACAATGTTAATTATGAAGTTATCATGCTCATGTTTTTGTGAGGATAAACATTTCCTCATATTCTGATTGGCAATAATGTGGGGGCGCCAGTATTAGCCTGAGGTGGACAAGGTCAGAAATCACTCAACACCAGGTTATAGTCCAACAGATTTATTTGAAAACCCAAGCTTTCGGAGCCTCAGTCCTCATTCAGGTGTTAGTGAGAGTGGTAGTAACAGACACAAAATTTATAAGTAAAAGATCAAAGGGTCACACCCTTGCTGAGGATGCACGAACAAACCTAAGATGCTGTTAAATCTTTAACCAGTTAGAAGGTTTTAATTTGTTTAATATGTATATGTAAATCCCCGAATTCACACATACACACTTTCTGCCACCACGCGCGCACACACACACACACACACTCTTTCTCTTTCTCTATCTCTGTCTCTCTACCACCCCCCACCACACACACACACACACACACACACACAATCTCACTCTCTGTCTCTCCCCTCACACACACACTCACTCTCTCTACTCCACTCACAGACACTCATTGTCTCTCTCCCCTCTTTCTCTTTCTCTCTCTCTCACACACACATACACACACACACGTAAATCTATGGGGTGAATTTATATTTGCAGGTACATTTTATTTTGTTCAAAAAGCACATAATTTATAGACAGTCACTCAATGTAGCGTTGTATAATGTCCTACTTTAGAAATAAAACCAGTCTGACTCCAAGCCAAAACACAAACAGATTCTAAACAAGGCTTTACACCTAACATGCATTGTCTGACCTAAAATGTCACCTCTTCTTTACACTGATAAAACATTTTGTTCTCTCAGGGCCTTGATTGAAAGGAATTCAGGGATATACATATGCATATTAACCGATTAAAACCTTCTGACTAATTAAGGATTTAACAGCATCTTCGGTTTGTTTAATACATCCTCATCAATGGTGTGACCCTTTCATCTTTTACTTATGAATTCTATGTCTGCTACCACCTTACTAACTACCACCTTACTTACTACTGAAGAAAGAGCGAGGCTCCGAAAGCTTGTGTTTTCAAATAAACCTGTTGGACTATAAGTTGGTGTCATGTGATTGGCAATAAAGTTCAGCAAGTTTACTTTCAGCATAGTAAGGCATTAAACATGGCAATCAAGACATTCTGTTCTTTAAAAAAACACAAAAACTGATAAAAAACCTACAGATCTCGGAATTCTAAAGCAAAAACAAGAACTGCTAGAGAAACTCAGCAGGTCTGGCAACAGCTGTGGAGAGAAAACAGATAACATTTCAGGCCCAGTTACCCTTCTTCAGAAGAACCAATTGCAGGTATCATTCTGCTAATCTGTGACTATGTGGATAGCAGTTTACAATAAGAAATTGGGATAGAGAAAGTGCTGTTTTATATCCCTTCTTATACTTTCTTCTCTTTTCTTTCTTCCCTTCTGCTGGACTGTTCTGTGCCAGACAATAGTGCCACAAGCATTGACAGCCATTCAGGAGTTTGTGTATACAATAGATATCGGTCTAGATTGAAAATGTTGTTAGACTATTCAAATGTAAAGGGCAACTTAACTAAGCCAGATCTCGTTTTCATCTAATTCTAGAATAAATCACAAGATAGAAATCCTGGTTGTCTTTTCTCCTCTGGAACCCAGGGCTGATGTAACCACTTGCAGGTATCATTCTACAATATTAGTTGAAATTAGTCAGCTAGGCACAGGCCAGATGTAAAGCATGAGATGTGTTTCTTCTTACAGCTAATTGTTCTCTTCGGTAGCGCATTTGCCCACTGGGACAGCTTGATTGTTTTTTTTTCTGACAACTTCAGCAGGAAGGCTGGGCAAAATGAAAGAACAATGTACAGTTTGTAAACTCCAGAGATTTGGAAACAAAATTTTAACTGAAACTTCAGCTGGAGGACTATGGAAATCTTAGCGCCATCTTTCATATGAGATAAATAAAAGATTCGATGCCCACCATTTTGAAGAAGAAGGAAATACAATCCAATATTTATTCCCTCAAGCAATTCATAAAAATAATTATCTGTACATTATTACATTGCTGTTGTGCTAATATGCTATTGTGTTTGTTAAACTACAACAGCAACTACATTCCAAGAAAAAGGACTTCATTTATAAAGCACCTTTGTTCACAAGGTTGTGACAAGTGCAACATAATACTAATCTTCCTAATATTGTAGATGACCTGGCCGTTATCTTCAATCATCATCTGGGAGGCTACTTAGTTCCCCAGAAGTATTTTCACTTCCTTTATTGTCTTATTTTATGCCAAGGTCCCAGTATCTGTGGCATTTTGTTTTTCTTTTAGAACACTGTCTTGAACAGAATTAGTTTTCAGCTTGCAATACTACATTTGCATTTTACCTGCGCTTTTATTTCTTTCAGGTATGTTAAGTGAAGGCTTCATCTGTGGATTTCCTTACTGGAATGAAATTGAAAATGAAAACAAGATGAGACAGAAGGAGCAGAAGCAACAAAAACCTTCAGAGGATAACATGGTTCAAGAGCTGATTTCTGTCAGTAATTTTCAGAATTCATCTCAGGCTGAAGTTCCTAATGGGGCTCTGTCACTTCTTCAAAAGTGCAAGTCTATTTGCAGACCTTTCAGATTGAGTGCAAAGGAAAAAATAACAACACCATTGGTACAGCCCTCACAAGCCACATCAATCACAAGGCAAAAGTCCCTTGTTGTAGATATTCCAGGGAGCTCCAGTGTGAATAAGGAAACCTATTTGGTTCCCTCGTGTTGTAAAAGTATCTGTGATGATTACAATGACCTGCAGATTGCAGGAGATCAAGTGCTGCCAATTAGTTTGGAACCATCTGGCCTGACACCTGAGGGAAGCTACAATGCAAATATGGTCCCATTCTTGTATTCATCAGAGATTACACTGCCAATGGAGTCCCCCAAACTATCAGCAGAGTTCCCAAACAAGCCAGCCAACAGCGATACATCCTGTTGGCGAGTTTGCAGTGCGAGAGACAAAAGCATCATTCAGCATTCTCAGCCACTTACTAATTCAGAACTCAATGACTATCTTGAGCAGAAAGTTCTGGAACTGTACAAGCAGTATATGATGGACAGCATGGTGAGCAATGCATCCCCAACAAAAATCATGGAATCAGAACTCGTCATGAATAACGTCGATCAGATTAGCATGATACTTTCACGAGAACAGAATATGGAAACTACAAAGGCAAAGGACATGGTTATCAGTTGCCTGTTACGTGTTGCGAGTGAGATACAATCGAATGAACTCAGTACACCAAATTTACAGATATCTGCTTGAAAGAGAAAAAGTTTTATAAAAGTTTATTTGCATTTTAAGTATAACTTATTAAAGATTAATTAATTTTGACTAGGTTTGCCACATCCATGATTGAACAGGCAGCAGAATAGGACAGAGAAAGCATTGAGACAGTGAATCATAGAATCATAGAAAATAGGAGCAGGAGTAGGTCATTTAGCCCTTTTAGCCTGCTCCACCATTCACTATGATCATGGATGATCACCCAACTTAGTCCCCTGTTTCTGTTTTCTCCACATAGCCTATGATCCCTTTCGCCTTGTCTAACACCTTCTTAAACATATTCAATGCTGTGGTCTCAACTTTCTTTGGCAGAGAATTACAGAAGTTCACCGCTCTCTGTGTGAAGAAGTTTCTCCTTATCTCAGTCATAAATGGCCCACACCATATCCTTAGACAGTGATGCCTGGTTCTGGACTGCCTAGTCATCATGAACATCCTTCCTGTGTTTACCCTGTCGAGTCCTTAAGAATTTTATAGGTTTCTATGAGATCTCCCCCTCATTCTTCTAAACTGCAGTGAATATAAACTGAACCGATCCAGTGTCTCTTCATGTGTGAGGCCTGACATCCCAGGAATCAGTCTGCTAAACTTTTGTTGTGCTCTTTCCTTGTTATGGTTTGAATTCTGTCTTATTTTCTTACCTGCTGTTGAAATTGTTTCAAGACTTCACAAAAAAATTCAGAAGATTGAGGGGGGATCTTACAGAAACATATAAAATTATGAAGGGAATAGATAAGATAGAAGTAGAGAGGATGTTTCCACTGGCAGGCGAAGCTAGGACAAGAGGGCATAGCCTCAAGATTAGAGGGAGCAGATTTAGGACTGAACTGAGGAGGAATTTCTTCACCCAGAGGGTTGTTAATCTATGGAATTCCTTGCCCAGTGAAGTAGTTGACGCTACTTCAGTAAATGTTTTTAAAAAAAAGTAGATTTTTTTTGAACATTAAAGGAATTAAGGGATACAGTGAGAATGCGGGTAAGTGGATCTGAGTCCACGAAAGGATCAGCCATGATCTTGTTGAATGGCGGAGCGGGCTCGAAGGGCCAGACGGTCTACTCCTGCTCCTAGTTCTTATGTTCTTATGTTCACATATATGGCCTCCAAATTTCCCAAGTTGCTTCTCAGGAGTGTTGTGAAATAATATTTGGCCACAAGCCACAAAAGCAAATATTAGGAGAGGTGACCAAAGGAATAATGAAAGAGGTCATTTTAATGTGCACCTTTAAGGGGAAGAGAGAGAAAGAGAATTCCGGAGCTATGGGCCTTGGCAGCTGAAAATACAACCACAGAGGTACACTTATTAATATTACAGATGCACAAGTCACCAGAATTGGAGGAGTCTTGTGATCTCAGAGGGTTGTAAGCTTGGAGAAGACTACAGAATAAGGAAGGGGTAAGGCTATGGAAACATTTGAAAGTGAGAATAAGAATTTTAAGATCAATACTTTGCCAGACTGTTCTGTGTTGTAGGTCATCAAGTACAAGGGTAATGGGTGAATGACATTGGTGTCAATTAGGCTACAGGTACTTCCTGTTCTGGTTGAACTTATGTTTATAGAAGACAGTGGGCTAAGAGTGCATTGAAATAAGTAAGTTCAATAGAAAACAAATTCTGGATGGAAATTTCAACAGTAAATGTGCTGAGACAGGGGAAGAATTGGGTGCTGTCACAAAGAGGTAAATAGACAATCTTTGTGATGGTGTGGATATTCTGAGTCAAAATGACACCAAGTTTGTGAAGAGTTTCATTCAGCGTGAGCCAGTTTTCATGGGGAAGGATGGTGTCGGTAGCTAGAAAATACTCCCTGTGTCCAGGTCAATATTTATCTCCCTACCAATGCTTACAAACAAATTATTTGGTCCCTTATTCCAATGCTTTTCAAGGTATAGCACTGTGAGATGCCAACTTTCTAAAATTAATATATTTTAAAAGTACTTATTTGGCTGTAAAATACTTTGAGATGTCCTATTGTGAAATATGCTATATAAATCTAAGTTCTTGCTATAAACTTTACGAATGTTCCTAGTTTTCTGCATGGCAGATGCACGGTGAATTGTTGGTGGGTTTTCATGGTTGCATGTACCCCTCTCATTCTGGAGGATATGAGTGAAACTCTCAATAACATTCGAAAAAGGCAACAATAGTATTGTGCAGTGGGCCAAAAGTCTCTATGTTTGACAGCATAACTGCATGCAATTGTTCTGGGTACACCCATTCGGCATTTCTGAGCATAAATCTCCTCAAAGAGGTACTTTTATATCTGAGGGAATGTTGGGGCCATAATAATGACCTGAACTGAGAAACATAGCTCAATCATTTCAGGTTGAGTACTCTGGGGGCAATATGTCTAACTTTGATTTTGGGGGATGGTGATCAGTGGAAAATTGGCTCAATTTCCTAGACATTTCCACATAATCTTTTCAAGAACATGTCAGAAACAATAATATTGCGTTAATAACGCTATTATTGTAGCACCTGTAGCTTGAAGTTTAATGCTTAAATTAAAACTGCTTTGATCAACTTGAAGTCTTTTTAAATTTCAAAGTTTGTCCTAATCACATGTAATCAAACTAGTTAAAGTATTAGCTGTTTGAAAACTTTCAAGTCCTAATTGGTTACAATATTGTTCCCTTCATCCCTGGGACATGAGATTGAATCTTCTCAGTGCTGGCTGGAAGTATGCTGTCAATTCAATTTCAAGTGGATGCAAGTCCATTCCAGAAATCTTCTCTTTATACTCTCAGAAATTTGAAATCTCAGGGAGGTGGTATTGCTAGCAACTAATATAAGTACTACAAAACTGACCTTAGACTGCTTCATGGAAAGATTGAACATTAAACTGGTGATTCCTCAGGTAACTCATTTATACTGGACATGACTTCTTCATGCTAAAACAATATTGTGGATTTCCCTCAAAGGAAAGATACACTGCTTGTTGGCAGCCGCTAAACTGTGCTTAAGTCACAGATTGGACAAAGAATGGTTCGACATTGTATTCCTTAGAACATTGAAAACTTTATGTTGTTAAACAATGGAGTACTGTATATTGGTTATTACAATGAACAATTCCTATTTAATTGTCTTTCCCCAAATGATTGTATAATTAATTAGCTTTAAAAATAAGAGTGGATTAATGCCTGATTAGGAGACTGTAACATAAAGTAAACATCATTAGCTAAAAGATAATAGGTTGTCATGATGAATCTTAAAACAGGATCTAAATGGTCTTTTTCTCTGTTTCTCGCGTATCAGTTTTAGGAATTAGGTTTGGTTATGTTGACACCTTGGTGTTTAGCTATGTCCCATAAAAATCAACTTCAAGTGCACAGGAAGTTGGCTTGAAGGTTTTCCAGCTTTTTACCATAAATGAAATGTTGCTACTTGTATCAAAGCCAAATTGCAAATGGAAATAGTTTCATAATTTTAGATGCTAAAATCTTATTTTCTCAATGATACAAAATACAGTTTCAGTCATGTTATGCTATCAGTATTACTGAATCACACATTTTAAAAATTTGAAATTGTTTTGTGTTAATAGTTCAAACGTTGTCAAATATTTTATGTTAAACAACAATTTAAGACTTATTGTAGCCTTGTTAAATCATGTAGTCAGCATAATACTCCACTTTGGATTGGATGATTACTAAAGCATTTTTGTAATGTTTTAATCCTATTCAAGCTTTAAAATTAAACGATTGATTTATTTTCATCTTTATATATTAAATCCTATATTTCAATTCTATTTTCTGTTTTGGTTTAACAGAGCTAGTATTATGTGATATTAATTTTACTGTTTTGTTACTGTAAAAACATATTCCATTTCAGTAATTCTGCTGAAATATTTTCTTTAACTGCATGTTCTGAGAAGCAAGTTTTGAATTACTGTTTGCGAGGAGTGGTTAATGCAAATCAACTTTCAGACCTAGATTTCAAACATTAACTTTGTTTTGAACATGTGACAGCTATGATGTTGGGTCAAGCCAAAGAAGCTTTAGCTGTTGCTCAAGTTCTTCAACTGCATACCTTCACACTCATCTATTTTTCCTACTAAATTTCAGTTAGATTGCCACTATACATTTTTTTACTTGGAGCTTCATTTCCTGGCCTGAACTTCCAATGCAGGCCTTTTTAGAATTACAGAGCCTACCTTCTCAGGAAGCCTTACAGCACAGCACATGATCACTGCTGGAACCTAATTCACACCCCTTTTTTGTAGCTGTATCTGTCTTATTGTGAATCTAAAGCCTCTATGTCAATGAGAAAGGCTAAGAGGTGACCTTATAGAGGTTTATAAATCAGGGAGAGTGTGAATAGAGTAAATAAACAAGGTTTTTTCCGAGGGTGGGGGAGTCTAAAACTAGAAGGCATAGGGTTAAGTTGAGAGGGGAAAGATTTTAAAATGTCTTCAGGGGTAACTTTTTCATGCAGAGAGCGATGTGTGAATGGACTGAGCTGCCAGAGGAGTGGTGGAGGCAGGTACAATTACAACATTTGGAGGGGTAAATGAATAGGAAATGTTGAGAGCGATATGGGCCAAATGCTGGCAAATGGCATTAGGTGAGATTGGAATGTCTGGTGGGCCAGGACGAGTTAGATGAAGGGTCTGTTTCCATGCTGTATGATTCTATGATTCTGAGTTCTAAAGAAGGGTCACTCTGATTTCTCTCCACAGATGCTGCGAGACTTGCTGAGCTTTTCCAGCAATTTCTGAATTTGATTTTGATTTCCAGCATCTGCAGTTCTTTCGGATTTTATTGAGAAAGTAAATGTGTTAAGTATGTAGGTGATGGAAAAGAGTGGCAAATTGTTGGGAGAGGATATAGGGACTAAAAATGTGGCTGAGAGGAAGGAAACCAGGTGGGTCAGTGAGCGGCACTAAAGTAAAACAATGAACCATGGATGCTGAAGATCTGAAAAAAGAAACAGAAGTTACTAGAGAAACTCAGCTGCATCTCCAGAGGGAAAGCAGAGTCATAATGAAGATGGGTCACAGGACTCGATAGTTTAACTCTTCTTTCTCTCCACAGATGCTACCAGACCTGCTGAGCTTCTCCAACAATTTTGGTTTAGGGTCAGTGAGAGGGTTGGGTGTCAAGCAAGTGGCTGAGAGGGTAGGTTGCATGTCCAGGAGAATAGCTTTGGCCATGTGTGGAGGTTTGGTAAGGCAGTGAATGTAGAATGTAATAGTATAGTTAATCAGAAGTTACAGCAGGTTTAAAGCCATCTCACCATTCCTGGGCAAGTATAGATAATATGTCAAAACTGTCTAAAGTCACCAGATCTAACTGGGAGTTGGAACATTTTCAGAGCATTGTAGATGTAGGACAATTACCTACCGGAAGTTTAAACTTCCTGGGCAAATGTCTCACAGTTAGTTCATTGGGATGTTTGTGGGGTCTTGTGGCATATCTGTCAGGTAATGTCCAATTTCCTATTATCTGGAAACCAGAAGATCTGGATCAATGTTTCAAATTGTTTTTGGAGACTTGTTTCCTGGTCTCACAGTCACTTTAATTCCAGTTGAAATAAAATCTTGGTATTATTTTCAAGGTCAATGGAAAATAAACACTGGCTCAGTGAGATTTCAGCTGGCAATTTGCTATGAGTCTGTTTACCTCTTCTGGCATAAACAAACCCGTTACATTTAAAAAAAAGTGTTTTTAAGCATGTGAAAAGAATGATTTTTCCCCTATCTGTCAGCTTGCACATCACATGAAAGAAACACTGTGGTCCATCCAGCCATATATTGTCTGCGTAGTTCTAGATAATATCTGGTTAAAATAGAGAAGGTGTATTCCCTTTTTATTATCTTTGCTTCCTTCTTGTCAATGTTACTGAGATACCAGTAATGAAAATTGAACTTCTATTTCTTGCTGATAGATTCCCATTCTGTGAGTTTTGACCTTTGTCTGTCCTTATAACAGATGTATGTGTGTGCTTAGAGTTTATAGAATAGAGACACATTAAATGGTGTGAGAATAAATGTGTGCAATTAGTTTCAAGTCAAAATTACAATACAGTATAATGAAGGCACAGAGTCAAAATGCTTTCAGAATACATTGTATAAGAATGAGGTAAGAGGATTGCATGACTTTTACTGATTTATTATGCAAGTGGTTTAGTTTATGTTACAGTTAGAAATTTGCAAGGAGCAGACTATTCTGTGCCACATGGTTGAAGATTTGTTTTCTTAATATCACTATGAGATCTATTCTAACTTATGGAAGACCAAATCTTAGAATGCTACAAAGAAGTCCTGAATGGAAGAAAGGTAACAAAGCAAGAATGATTGTAGGGTATCCACGGTCAGCATAAGATTATTCCCTTAATCTACTCCATCTGATGTGCATGACCATACTCATTTCAAAACTTCTTATATAAAAAGAAAGAGGATGTGAACTATACTTAAAGTGTAAAAATAACCCATACTTTATAAAAATAGAAAATGAAATCACTATTGTCTTCATTATTGGAGAACATCATGATCCAAAATTGGGTTCAGAATTTGTATGAATTTTTAAAAATATTTAAATTTTACCCACTTTAAAGGTACTTTACAAGAGCGAAGCTTATAAAAGTTCTATAATTGAAAATATTTAAAGTAATTGTACAGTTCTAAGAAAAATAAATGGCAATAGTTAGAATCTTAGAACATGAAATTATGTTTTCATTATGATAACATCTTTGATCGATAAAGGTTCAGGAAAGTTTGGGTGTATTTGGGCAGATAATTTCATTTTTTTTCAGCAGAAAGGTACACCCATAGAGGGGATTGCAGGGCATTTCTTAACATGCTTTAACATTGAATAGGATTGTCTTCATACAGCTACTTCTCAAAGCAGGACTCTACCATAACTACCTATAAGCCAAATATACAATTAATTGGAGTTGCTAAAACTAACAGTTTAGCTACCTATGAAACAATTCTCTTCCTATGTGCTGGTCTGAGAGGACTAGTAATTTTAAATTTGGCTCGATTACTGCACAAAATCTGTCCTTTGAATTTCAGGCGCATTAGTATGGGTCTCACACCATGTCAAGGCAATTTTAATTCACTTGCTGCAGACCAGAATTAGTAATATTATTTGTGAAATGTAGGTACAACATTTGCTCAGAGCATTGAGAAGAACATGTTACTTTCTCCTTTGAGAACTGCAATGTGATCTCTAGCATCAACCTTATGAGTAAGGTGGAGTTCTGGTGTAATATCCCTGTTAAAGGACAGCAATTCAAAAGCTCATCACTCTTACAGATCTGCATTGATCTGATAGCATTTCTTTGGGAAAATAATATCTTGTAAAAATAATTGGACTAACATTTCTAATAACATTTTCACCATTTTCCCCAAAGGCATTGCACCAGGAAAACTTGTCCACACATCTGTAATTATTAAAATATACCAATTCCCATTCATGGTTTTAGTTAGAAGTCCTACAAAATATATTAAGACCCTGATAAAAAGTTATTTAAAAGTTGGTATCAGAATTAAAGGCACAAATTTGCCTGAAAATTTGATTACATCTTTTTTTGCCCTCATTTGATCAGAAGATTTGGGCCAATGCTTCCTCCTTGCTTAAAAATAACTGAGCCAAATGATCAATAACAACAAAAATGGCCCTGCACTTGAGATCCTGAATCCACTTGTGATTTGGTTAGATTTCCAAGATGTTCAAGCTAACCGTAACAAGAACAAAGATGCTACCCTTTCAAAAACCACAATCGATATTGCTTCTCCACAGCCAAACCCCCAATGCAGCTGAGCTTCCAATATTGGCCCTTCAGGCTGTCACCCTTTTCCCTCACTTACATAAGCCTGAAGGCCTTGGCCCCTCTGATTAATGAATGCTTTAAAAATCCATTTTTTAATTGACCTGGGTGAAAGCCAGTCAGCAGAGGTGTTAGTTTTAATGTTTCTGTCAGCGAAGCAGGCCGTGGAGATTGCCTGGTTGCTGTGAGAAAGAGACCTGCTGGAGGCATACAATCAGCAATATTGAAATTGACTTATTTTCTTGTTTTATTCCTATATAGATTTATAAAGAAATCTAGACAAAGCAACTGAGACTGAGTAAAATTTGCAAGTCACAAAAATCAGAGTGCACGAGAATTAAATGTTCCTGCAATGCTACTTAAGATCTGTAAATTAACTAAGAAATTCTTCATTACTTTTTGGCTTCATTAACACCTCTAGTTAAATTTGCTGTCCAGTGACTCTGTAATTTTTATGCTTCTGGAACTTCTCAAATCGAACAAATTAGACTTAGAGCACTGCTTACATGCCTTCTCTTCCTTAACAGCTCTGATATAACAGGCACAACATCAATTGCTCAATACACCTTCACTTTAGTAATTTAATATAGTAGACACAATTGAGGTGTATGCTTTTGCTCCTTGAACAGATAGGGTAGCAGGAAAAACATTCTAGCCCATAGAAAAGCCTTTTCTATCATATCATGTGGTGTGGAGGCTGAAGCTGGTATGAAGGATCAATCAAACCATGCATCAGGTGGACTACACCTTGGAGAATGAGAACCACTCGAGGAAAGACAAGAAGTTCTACAAAGCTCAGGTCTTATGTTGTCTGGTAGATTTCAAAGAAGTGAGGAAAATTTGATTTTCCCCAAAGAGCCAAGCAGACTTGTGCATCTCAGAATTTTGTCTGATAGTAGATTCAATCTGTACATTTTCCTGAACATGTGACATAATGCCCTGAGCATT